AAATTGCTCAGCAGCAGTACACCATCGAGGCTGTGGGGCAGTGCGCAGAGATCAGCTGCGATGACGTGGGAGACGAAGAGGTGCACCAGACCCGCAGGCGTGAGAGGGCCATGTTGGCAGAGGAGAAGGCACTCATCGCGGAGGTGGCGGAGTTTCGGGAGGCCGCCGACTACCCCGACGCGTCATATCAGGAGTTCGAGACGACCTTGTGCTACGAGACCAGAGGTGACGTGGAGGTGCTGGTGGCCCGGTTCACCCCCGAGCCCTTCTTCCGCACGATGAAGAGGCCTGCCCGTGTTATCTTGCGGCAGCTGGGCTTCGCAGCCGTGATGGGCGCTGTGTGGGCGGCCGTGTATGTGGGCTATTGGCGCGCTTGTGAGGACCGATCTGTGACGGTGCCGTGGGTCATCCTGGACCTCACTCGCCGCTTGATGATCACCTTTTGCTACATCGCGTGTTTCACCCTGATGGTGGAAATCGATCTGCGCGCGGCTTGGCGGCGGTTCCGGAGAAAGTGGGTGTACTTTCTGCCGATGATATATACGTCTCTCGGGTGTTTCATTGCCTTCCACGGCGGCGCGTCGGCTCTGGTGCAGCACGCAGTCGTTCTGTACCCGTCGCTGCCCTTGTACCTGTTCATCAGCCCTTACCTGTTCTTCCGCAGCTGCGGCAAAGACATCAAGACCGTGAAGAGGCCGCAGGTGTATGCCCTCCAAATGACCTCCATCTGGGCTGTCTGCGTCTCTTTCTCCCTGGTGGGCCGGTTGGGCACTGTGCTGAAGCATGTGTCTCGAGACACTGAAGTGGTCTGTCTGTCGGTTAGGTTTTTAACTACCTGTACCTGCCTCTGGCGATAGTTGCGACAACCGACGGGGAAAGGACGCGGGTGGCATTCACCGTGCTCGTGTCGGGTTGGCCCTTTGTGGCGCTGGTCGCATCCATCGCACGGCAAGTCAAAGTGAGAGACTGACTGCGGGGGGTGGGCGAGTGAGCAAAAGGGCAGCAAAAGGGCAGCAAAGCGTGTTTGTCTCTCTCTCTCTCTCTCTCTCTTTGCGTGCAGGATGGCCCGGTGTCGCACACAATCCCCACGATCTCGTTCATTGTCTTCTCGTGCTTGGTATCCACCTGTGTGTGTGTGTGTGCGTGTGTGTGCATTGGCTCATGGCGTGCCGGGTGTCATTGTCTCACTAACTGCAGTTGCTGCCACGGATGCTGCAGGCCCGCATGGACACCCTTCAAGTGCAGATACTCAACTCCCTCATGTTCGGCGTTTCCGGCTTCTTCACAGGTGAAAAGAACACTGAATGGGAATGTACGAGACCATGATTAGTACTGTGAGCTGCCGATGTGTCTCTCAGACATGGCAATCCCTTTCAGTTAGCGGCCAAGAGCGCACCGACACAAAAAGCGACACATTGCGGCGGCCCTTGTGTCTGTCAGGTCCCATTCTGGGCATGGCTGCGCGCAGACGACTGATGCAGACGATTGGACCCTACTGGCGCACTGGCAACAAAGGCAAGCGCCCACCAGACCAGTGTGGTGGTTTCGGCGGCACCCACCCCCCCAAGCGGCAGTCTTCGCCATCCGGTGACACCATGGCCACCAAGACAGCGAGCAATGATACGACAGTAGACAAGCGAGAACAGCGCCTGACCCGGCCGACGAGCAGCCTGTCGACCATGATCAGCTTCACGTCTGTCGACCGTCTCCGCACCGCCCTCAACCGGTCCTCTGTGCGGTCTCTGAGCACCTTCCTGGACGTGCAGACCACTTTCGTGGCCCACCACGCGTCGCCACGCCTACTCAGATGCATCAGCGACGTAACAACGCAGAAATCGCCTTCACAGGCACTCTCTGTGTCGTGTCTCTATGTGTCTCTCTCCTTCTCTCAGCAGCTGCACGTCTACAATTTGGCCGAGCTCACCACACTGGTCTTCACGCACCTCTCCTTCACATGGGTGGACCAGGTGCTGCACCCATCGGCCCAGCGGTTGGCCGAGAGGCTGGGCGGCATACTCGTCCTCGTCGCAATCGAGGCCACTCTTGAATGGAACCTCCTTCTGGTCAATGCGCCACACAAACGACGCAGACACGATTATATGTCTGAACACCTCTCTCTCCCCCTCCCTCCCTCTCTCTCTGGGTGTTCAGTTTCTAGTGCGCGTGACGAACCTGCCTCTGCTGTCAAGAGAGAAGGGCTCGAATGCGGTGGCGAAGCGGCTGTGGGGGTTCGTGTCGGCCTCTAATATGGTGTGGCTGGGGACATTTGTCTACTTCGCCCTGTTTCTGCTGGTGGCCATCGACCCACAGAGATATGGCAAGATGGAGCCGCATGAGTTCTGCCCTCATTACACGCTGCTGTTCAGACGGGACTGATGTGATTGCTAGGAGAGTGTGTTGTATTGTATTGTGGGGTGGGGTGGAAGGATGTGACACTGTGGGACCTTCTGTCTGTGAGCTCGGTGGCGATCATGCCAGGCTGTGTGGCGATCTGATACAGACGCGTATATAAGGGTCGGGGGTTTGTGGCCTATGTGTGAATGAAGTCACGATGGAGAGCCGGGCACACACACTTTCAGCAACATCCACGCCATGCAGATCATTCCATCCGTCCGCCTATCCATCCATCCGTCAGTCAGTCAGTCAGTCATCATACAACGCGTGCGATGCTTGTGTACCTATGTGCCTCTGTCCAGCTATCAGCCATGAACACCCTCCCCTTAATTCAGACAGGCATGAACAAGGCAAGGCGCGACCGCCGTGCCGTAGCTACACCTGGCCACGCACCCCGCAACCCCTCTCTCCCTCCCTCCCTCCCTCCATCCATCCATCCACCCATCTCTACGCGTCGCTCGCTGACCTGACCGAGCACAAGGACAACAGGAGGGCGGCCGGTTGCTTGGTTCCTTTCCTGCCTTTTGTGGTCTTCGTACGTGGTGTGATCTGTGTCTGCCCGGCTGGCGGTTTAGTTGACGGGCTGAAACGAGGCCTGGATGTGCTCGTCATCGATGGTCTCGAACACCTCGCCCTCGTCAAACAGTGTCGAAATGGCCGCCAACACCTCCTGAGCTGCACATACACACACACACACACTCTCACACACACTCACACACACACATCCAATGCCCGAGGGTGCACACCAGACCCCGTTTCGAGTCCGCTCACCGCCGAACCCCTCCTGCGCCAGCCTCTGCACGACGAAGTCCTTCTTGACCCCGCTACCCTTGTCAGCCATGACCACCACCGCACCCACCGCCCTCTGCACACGCTCGGTGATGTTCTCAGGCACGCGATGCAGCGGCAGCCCTCCCCCTCCCCCGCTGGCGCCGCTGGTGCGGGCGAAGGTGCCACCAGCCGTGCCGCCGCCCTCCCGCTTGATCTGTGCTGGTGCGGGCGACATGGGGTGGTCCGCCGACTGCTCCAGCTTGGTGCCCGTCAACGTCAGATGGGTGTGGGCTACCTGATGGCCAGCAGCAAACCATCCATCCAGCTAATTGTGTGTGGTGTGGTGTGTTGTGGTGTGGTGTGGTGTGGTGTGGCTACTCGCCTGCACTAGGTGGTACATCTCCTCGTGTATGTCGACGGGCTTGATCTGCAGCACGCTGAGGTAGCGCTTGTTCTGCTTGTTGTCGAACTTGACCGCCCCGTACACCTTGACCATGGTGTGCTGGTCCGTCGCTGCGATGCGGTCCCGGATGTACTGCGGCTTGGCCTCGCTGCTGGGGAAGTAGAAGCGGCACTCCATCCCCCCCGTGTAGTCGGCCACCTTCCATGTGGTCGTCAGCTTGTTCTCAGTCAGCTCCCGGACGATGCCCACTATCTTGACCTGCGAGATCTCCTTCTCGTTGATGAGCACCTTGTTGCCCTCCTTCTCGGCCTCGTGGACCATCCGGATCGTCACGGGCATCAAACCGCCGTCACTGCGGAACAGACGACGCTTGTACGAGTCGCCAGAACCGCCGCCACTGGAGGGCGACGCTCCGGAGGTGCGATTCTCGTGATATCCACCGCCGCCGGGAGAGGGCGAGAAGGCCTCGGCGGCAGGTCGCTCCTCGTAGCCGCCGACGGTCGCTGCGCCGCCCTCATCGTTGTCGGCAGCGCCAAAAAACATGATGAAAGAAAGGTTCGTAAATTGCCGATCGCGGCCAGGCAGCCAGGATGATGGCAGATCGTGGGCAGATATGTGGGCCATGAAACCGCGTGAATGATTGCACCCAACGCATGCACGTGCCATACTTACACACACACACACACTGCAAAGGGTACATCGTACCCACCAGCAGCGTCTGGGCGTCTGTCTGTCAGTCAGTCGGTAGGCACAGGGTCATTCATGTCACGTCAACCGCACTGCACACGCGCGCCTCTTTCGTGGGTGTGATGAATGGTTCTAGCTGCACACGACAGACACATGCCCCCCATCCCGCCACTCCCTCCACGTAGTCACTTATCACCAGCCATCGATATCAGCCGGCGTCTCGTAGAAGGCCGCACTCGGGTCCCTCCGCAACGCCGTCAGGTCACCGAATGACGCGTACTTGCCCATGACGTCCTGCACGACAGCCAGACACAAACAAAGACACCAACACACACACACATCTCTCTCTCTCTCTCTCTCTCCCTGCTCACGTGTGTGTCCTTGGTTTGTGTGTCGTCAATGTGTTTGTGTGGCTGCCGGCTGTCGATGAGGACGGCCAGCCGCGGACATGAGGTAAAGACCTCGCGGACAAACTCACGGAACTCCGAGAGAGATGTCGACCTGACAGCCCATGCAGCAAACACACAGCGAAGCATTTCAATGTGCGGCCACAGGTGTTGGCTTGTGCGCGGTGCGGACGCACTTGATGATATCGATTTCCTTGTCCAGATGGTCGAACTCAAAGCGGCGGATAGTGAGCTCAGCCAAATACCTGCACACCACACCACACACATGTCTGTCTGCAGTCAGTGCACTCACACGGGTGTAGGCAGGCAAGACACACACGCGCACCTCTGCGCCTCCTCGTTGATGCGTTTGGGCTTCTGCGACTTGACCGTGACCACCGCCTGCTGATGCAGCCTGGCCAGCCACGCACACACACACACACTCGTCCAGTGCGTGTGTGTGTCTGTTCTGTGGGGGTCGTTCACTCACGCGTAAGTCTCCTCAGTCAGCTCGCCTTCGACCGCCGTTTCCACCAGCCACTTCAGAAACAGCTGCACACACACACAGACACAGGAACCACACAGACAGACACACGCACCCTCGCACCCCTCATGTGTCTGTCATCCATTGGACGGAAAGTAGCAGACCTCAATCCTTGCGAGCAGTTCATCGGGCGAGTAGGTGGACTGCACCAGGAAGGCCAGCGACAGCGAGCGCGCAGCGATGCGGGCGTACGAAGCCACGATGTACCTGATTGATTTACAACGAACGAACGACACACACCACATCTCATCTCATCTGGTCTCACTCTCTCTCTGTCCTGTCAGTGGTAGGTGGGTACCCACCCGAGCTGCTGTTTGGTTCGGAGGTCGTCGTAGAAGGTCTGGCCGATCCAGTTGGCCAACACGTCAGTGAGGGCCGACGTCCGCACAGACAGCTCACCAACCTGAATGACCCCACCACGGTCAAGCCAAGCCAAGCCAAGCCAAGCCATGCACACACACACACACACACACATACAGATGGGGTGGGTGCCCACCTGACCTGTATGGCCACGCAGATGGCCGAGTTGGGGTCGTCAGGGTTGGCGCCGTTGCACCGATACATCTGTCGTATGTCGGGCTGCAGCTTGAGGGCCTTCCGCAGCACCGGAGTGGGCGGGGCGGAGGGCTCGACCGACAACTCCTGAAGACACAATACACATGGGCAGCGTATGAGTGCGGGCGGGTCGATGATGTGTGGACAGAGCTGTGTGTGTATGTCACTCCACGCCACGGACCTTCAGAAAGGTGCTGATGAGCTCTCCCGCCTCATCTGCGGTGATGTTGCCGATCACCAACGCCTCCACAAAACAGCCTGGCCACCAACCAACACAATAGCAGAGGGGTGTGTGTGTGTGGTGGGGGGTGGATGTGCTGCGTGTGTATGTCGGCTGCAGTGCACCCACCATTGAGAATGTCGTTGTGTATCCCGTCGAGAGTGCCTTTAATCCGCTGCAGGGCAGCCGCCTCGGTCTCGGCCTTATTGTTGTCTGCCTTGTCCGCTGCTGCCACGCCATTGCTGCTGGTGCCAGCAGCGTCGTTGCTCAGACCACAGTGCTGCACACGCACACACACACGGAAGTTCCAAGGCCTGTGTAGGTGGTGTTTGTGTGGATGGACGGACCTGCTGCTGCGGTGTGTCCATGTCGTCATCGTCAGCCGTGAGGCTCATGCCCTCCAGCAGGGACTGCATCGCCGTGAACTGGACGGATGATTGCAGGCAGACAGACAGACACTTAACCAACTGCATGGGTGTGTCAGTCTTGTCTGGAGTGAGAAGACCTGTTCGATTTCGCTGTGTGCGGGGGTGGTGACCGCAACGGAGAGGCGGTTCATGCACTGCAGGTACGGCTGCCGTTTGTAAGCGGCGTTCCTGAGCTGCCTGTGAGTGATGTTGGCGACTAGCTTCAGAATGTCGCCCTTGAAGTCGCCTGCAGATGCATCCAGGCGCAGCTGCAGGTCGCGAGGACACACAGCACACAAGGCACACAAGGCACACACCGACCTGCTGTCATCTTCTCGCTGATGGCCTTGAGCAGCACGGGCAGCTTGTCGTTGAACCCACCGATGTCCAGCTGGACGCCTACACACACACACACAAACACACGCGCGCACACACACGCAGAGAGGGCCCAATCTACCCCTGTGTGTGAGTGTGTGGCTGTGGCTGTGGGAGTGTGTGTGCACCTGACTCACCTGTGCCATTCTGCTTCAGGGAATAGTTCAGCCCGGCCATTGATGCCTCATAAGCGTACTGCATAGCCAAGACACACACACACCACACGACCCTCATGTGTGTGTGTTGGGATCCCAACACACACACACACATACGCAGGGCACCCACCTCGTTGAGAGCCTCATAGACAGCCTCGGTCCACAGTAGGGAGGTCATGCGGCCCTCGAGCGACGACGACACATACCCCGAGTGCATCGTGATGTACGCCACCGCCTTGGGCAGAGCGAAGGTCGTGTCCTGCTTGTGGTAGCTGTCAGCACACGACAGACACACACATGTTGACAATGTACAGTCAGCCATGTGTGTGGGTGCTGTGGGTGTGGGGTGCGGTGCAATGCAATACATGTGGCATCTCTTGTCGTAGCCGGGGCATGGGACCCTCTCAGGCCAGCGGGCCGCTGTCGTGTCCTGTGGACGTGGAGAGGAAGACAATAAAGACACGTAGGTCTGTGAGAGTGTGTGGGTGTCTGTCTGTCTGCCTGTGCCAGCGTTCGTTCACCCCATTGAATGGTCTGAGGGCGAGGTCTTGAGGGAGGAAGGGGTTGCTCTTGGGCAGGTGCATGGCAGTGGGAGCTGAGAGATCAACTGAACCTGGCGAGCCCCTGTGTTGTGTTGCGTATGGGAGCAACCAGACATACAGGCAGGTGTGTGGGTGGGTGGCTGGGAGGGAGGGAGGGCGGGGGATGGTCACCATGCATCTCTCCATCTTTGTGGGATCTGTTGGCTGCAGTGCTTGGTGCCATACCACGGCGCCTCGCTCACACACATGTCGTTGTAACGGCCTACACACACACACACACACACACACACATGGCTTTCTACGGATGTGCGTGTGTCTGCACCCAACAAACATATGCTTTCACCTGAGCTGTCAACCACGACGCACCGCAGGTTTTCACACGTGAAGTGCGACAGCACCTCGCGGATGAGGGCCGGCTCGAACTTGTAGAAGAGCGACTGGCCCGACATGACGCTGCATGCAGCAATTGCATTCCATGTGCCGCACACAAGTGTCTCTGTGCTGCGGATGAGTCCTCACTCTTTTGGCGGGTATCGGTGCAGCGCACTGGCAATGTTCACCACCTGGCTGCCCGGGTCAGGAGTGCTTCTGAATCTGAAGGAGATGTCGCTCATGCGCATGAGGTCGTCGAACACTGTCGCGTGGGCAGCGTCGTCACTCGACGCCATCATCCTGACGACACACATGATTGGACGGACGCACTCATCGAGTGGGTCGGTGTGGTGTGGGTGTGGGTGAGGTGGCGGGGAATGCACTCACCCACCCACTCACCGGATGAAGGCGAAGAGAAGCTGACCCACCCTGTGTGTGTCACACACATACAGACAGACAGACAGACAAAGACATTCACATAACTAACACCTTTGTGTGTGTGCGTGACGGACAGACAGACGGACAGACCGACCGACCTGATGAGTCCCTGCTCCTCGCTCCCTTTGGGGGTGAGTGTGACCTGCACACTGAACCCATACACCCCCGCCGCCTCAAAGCTGCTGCCTACACACACACAACACACACATGAGTCCATCCATCTCTGTCTCGGTCTTCTGTCTTGCCAGCCACGCACACCGCACTCACCTGCCACCAGTTCTGTGGCGAGCCCCTCCGCCTTCAGCCGGGACAGCAGGGAGCCCTTGCCCTCGTGGCCCAACACGTGGGAGCAGTAACCCGCCGGCTTGGACAGGTACAGAGGCGTCTGCACCGCACACACACATGCTTAATTCGATCGGCTGCCTTGCGGCGTGGGAGTGATATATGTGTGTGTGACCGACTTGACCTGCTCTTTGAGGAACCACTCGAAGTCGATCTGCTGCGTGGTGCGCACGGGCAGCACATAGACTAAACGGCCTGTGTAGGGTACCCACAGGGCAGAGAGACGGCTGAGTCAGTCAGTGGGTGTTCTTGTGTGTGTGTGGGTGTCCATATGCCCACCCAGGTCTTCGCGCCGGAAGGGCAGCACGTGTGTCTGTGTGGCATCTTGCTGCTGCTGCTGCTGGCTCATCGCTTTGCTCTCGACACTGGAGAAGTAGTGGCGAAACAACTGCACACACACAGACAATGAGTTTGGCTGTGTGGATTCTGATGACACGCGCACCTTTTCCAGTTCGTCGAGCGGCATTTTGTTGATCATGACGATGGCCATCTTGTGGGAGGAGTAATGCTCGGCGTGGAATTTGAGCAGCGCCTCCCGCACGCCCTTCTGGTCGATCTTGTGGAGCGTAAAAGGGTCGTCACGCAGACTCTTCAGATTGCCTGCACCCATCCATCCATCCATCCACACAACAACACGTGCGCACGTGTGTCGTTTCACCTGTGGCGAATCTGTTGAGCGGGTGCTCGGGGTTGCACGAGTCGCGCAGCAGCTGGTGGAACCGCCACATGTCACTCTGCACAGCCAACACACAAATATGGCTGCATGCGGCGGATGCACGATGGCGCGGGGGTGTGTGCGTGCCTGCAGGTTCTTGCTGTGCTCCGAGTCGACTACACACCCACACACATTGATACTCATCTCTCTCTCTCTCTCTGTGTGTGTGTGTGTGTGTGTGTGTGGACCGACCTGCGTGCAGTTCCCTCTCTGCGGCCGATTCTGTAAAGAGCGGCTGCTGGGGAAGGAAGAACTGCGCGAAGCGGTCTAATGCGCCCTCGAACGACTCGGGAGCGACGGTGTAGTAGTAGCAGGTGTCGTCGTCAGCGGTGAACGCGTTGCTGTCGCCGCCATGCTTCTGCAGATACTGACTGTACTCCGTCTCATCGGGATACTTCTGGGTGCCTGACACACGTGCATGCACACACACAGCACGCGCGTCAGCAACAGGCACACAGACAGACGTGTGTGTGTGTCTGTGTGTGTTGCCACACAGACACTTGGCAGACGTACTTACCGAGGAAGAGCATATGCTCGAGGAAGTGGGCGAGTCCCGGCAGCTCCTTGGGGTCTAGACAACTGCCCACGTGCACGTCCATGGCACACGCAGCCTCACACACAAATGACACAGACAGACACATGACACCATAATGCCATCTCCCTCTCTGTCGCCAACGAGAGATCTCACAGTGTCAGCCAACACACTGTTTGACACGTGGGAGTCGGATCTCCCTTCCTTTGTTCATTTCCTCTCCTCTTCTCTCACCTTGTCGCATTTGTCGTCAGAGATCAGCACGCCCATCAGCCCGTTGTCGAGCTTCACATACCGATAGTCGCGGTAGTCCTTCTCGGGCTTGACGATGCACACAGAAGCGTCGGCAGCCGACATGCCCTCCATCTTCGCGAGGGCGCAGCGCTGAATCAAAGCAAGCTAAGCCGTGTAAACGGCAGCGCCTGGTCCTCGGGGCTGCTGCATCTCGCTGTCCTCGTCATGGCCGCCTGCCGGAGCATCAAGGTGTGGCCAGATCTGCACATTGAGTCGACGGATAAAGTTCGCTCACTTGATCTATCTGTGCTGCGTGTCGACTCACTCATTCAGGCGGATCTCCTGACTCTCTTGCCTCACACAGACACAGCTGACCCTCTTGCCTCCTGTGCGAGCTTCCCGGGCGTTGCGCGCCACCAGGCATTCCGCAACGGCGGCGCCCATGCATCCGCGCTAACGGACATCCCCACCTGACCCTGTCCGTCCCTTCTGTCAATCCCGATGGCTTCCCTATCCCTTTGCTCGACCTTCCTCATTGTCGCCCTTGCCTCCGCCGCAGCGGCCCCGTCTACCATCCTCAGACGCACCCAAGATGACACGCGCCCTCGGTCTGCCATTAATCCAGGTCCTCTCATCATCATCCATGCTCTCGGAGACGTCAAGGCCACCTTCTCCGACAACACGGAGGCGACCTGGTCCATCCCAGACGACAAGGACTTCTTCCATGCCAACCACGAGGGAAGCGCCTCTCTGTCTTCGGACAAGCCGGCCATGGTGGTGTTCATGAATGAGAATGCGACTGCCATTGAGACAGTGACGCTGCATCCGTTTCTGGAGGACTTCAAGGTCGAGGGCCACTTGGAGCTGGTCATCGCCGAGAAGGCCATCACATTCCCGCCAGACGAGCCTCAGGGAAGAACACTGCTTAGGTGGCATTGGTGACAGAGGATGGATGCGGGCTTCCATGTTTTGCAGATGCGGACGAAAAGAGCTGCCAAGGTATCTGGATCGCCATTATCAGCATCTGTATCGATATTTTTTGAGATCGGTTTTCTGTGTGGCTGGGCTTTTGCTTTGCTTCTGTGTGTGTGTGTGTGTGTGTGTGTATGCCGGCACTTTGTCCGTCTGCCTTCCTCACACTTGCATGCCGATCATCACAGTGAGACTCGTTTACTTACATGAGCACACATGGATGGCTGTCGGTCGGTAGTTTGTGTTTGTGGCGTTACTGAGACGGTAATCGGCTTGTTGAACATCTAGTTTTGAGATCGGTTTACCTTACTTTGCTTTGCTTCTTTGTGTGCGTGCGTGCGTCTGTGTGTGTGTGTGTGTGTGTTTGTGTGTGTATGCCGCTACTTCATCCGGTGGCCTCCATCACGATCGCATGCCGATCACCATAGCGAGGCGTATTTACTTGCACGTCAGTCATTTTTATTGTCAGTTTGTGTTGAGTGAAGTGCCTGTAGTCGTATCGGCGTGGGAGCGAGCCATCCGCTGTGCGGATGGGACACATGGCCGCCGAGAGAGTGCAGCGGATGTGTGTTGTGTCGTGTGTGAGGGTATGTGCCACGTGTGTGCGGCGTGTGGTCTCCACCGAGGCACTCGCCAATTCAATGAGGAAGGGGCTTGGATGGCTGCGCTGGTGCACTCATGCAACGGACGGAAGAAGAACCAAAAAGGTTCATCCGTCCATCTTTTAGGTTCATCCGTCCATCCATCCCCTGTGTGTTGGTGGATGCTATGGGTCGTTGTGTGCTTGGAATGTGGTTGTCTTTTTGTCACATGTGTGTGTCTTTGTCGGTCGCGGATTGTCTGGGTTGCGTTGGGGGGTCGCTCACCCTTTTCCTTTTCTTTCAACTTTTCCATTCTTCCACACGCGTGTGGGCGAAGGTGACGTGCCTGTGCGCGGATCTGTGGTGCATGTCATTCATCTCACCTCGGTGAGGCTGCAGCATGACAATGGGAGGCAGGGAAGACACTGGGGTGAGAGCATTGAAGTGATCGAGCAACGCACACACCTCGTGGACGCAGGGCTAAGGCAAGGCTTTGACACACACATAAACAAAGCGCTCACACACAAACACTGGCACATCTGTAGTGCAGTCAGTCTTTGTAGCATTCCTTTCTGTCCACCTCCACACACACATCCACACACACACACATACACACATAGCGCTGACACCATGCGTGAGAGAGAGAGAGATTAGCAGAGGCTGTCTGTCGTCTGCTGGGATAGGCCCCCCATTTGACCACCCGGCCATAAGACCCAGGCAACGAGGCAGCAGAACTCAATGCATTGTACTGTACATGGCTGAAGAGGGACACCACAGGCATCTCAACGTCCTCCTCCTTGAGTGAGCATGCGATCAATATGGGGCCTCACTCAATGAGCTTGTTCGCCCTTTCGTCGCTCGCTGTCATTAAATCTATGTGACACAGCACAGACACATTTCGTGTCTCCCTGTCTCTGTCTGTCTGTCTGTCTGCTGCTGGCCAAGGAGGGGGTCAAGTCAAAGGTAGACGCCAAAGCAGCAATCAAGTAACGCACGGATGAACGCGTGAACCGCACTCAGCTATGTAGCTGGTCCGTCAAAGGCAACGAGACATCACTCTTGAGCAAAACCAGCCAACCGATATGAAATGCAGGCAGCGATGATGCTTCTCTATCGCTGACAACCCTCCCCATGCAGCCAAATGACCCGCACCCGCACACCCATGCAGGCAGTCTGTCAATCCACTCCCCCACGCCTTACGCCAGGCCACCCACACCCATGTACACACGCCTGACAGACTGACTGACAGACACACAGACAGGCAGGCAGCCCTCTCCCCCCTCTCCCCCTCTGCTATCGCTGCGCCACGGCTACCTTCGGCCCGTCATTCGTGTGTGGCATCGTGGGTGTGGTCAAGTCGCCAGCAGCCACGATGTATAATTCTGGATGTCCCAAACGACGCCTTGTATGATGGAAGTCGCGTTCTGCAGCCCGACTGTGATGTTGTGGAGTGCCATCGTCGCGTTGGTTCCATCGTTGAATGCTGCTGCTGTGGTGTTGTGCAGAGTTCCTGTGCAATCAACGAAAACCGATGCCGCCACTCGGACAGTGTTTGGCGACTCGGTGGCGGTTGTGATCCGCCCTGACGGCACAAGGAAGCCTCCCGCCGGCTGGGGTTCGAGCAGCCACAACGTCACATGTGGCACCAGCCTACCATCGCTTGCCCGCCGCCTCTTGTTTCGTGTGTTGGTGGGCGACGCGGGCTCGCCCTCAATAGAAAATGTCGCCCGTGTCTTCCTCAATATAAAGTGCAGGCACCGATCGATGGACGATGACCTAATACCAGAGACACTTGCTATCAGGAGCATGGCACTTTCCGTCGCCCCGCCTCCCTCTCCCCGTGGTCCCACTCTAGCCCGGGCCCACCTTAGCCACCACGACGGTAATGCCATCGAAAAAGTCGGGGTCGTCGGGGATGTGGATGGCTGCCTCCTGGGCGAAGGGGGTTGCGGCGGTGCAGTCGAGGCTGGTCTTGTATGCCAGCTCATCAACCCCCCTGGCCAGCTTGCCCGCCGTCACACCACATGCCGTCCGCGAGGGAGGCGAGAGGTCCTCCTCCCGCTCGGCGTCCTCGGCGGCCTCCCCATACGGATCGCACACCGTCTCCGTCTCCCGGCCGGGGCTGCGGACAACGCCCACCACGACGGTGATGTCGTCCTTTTTGCCGCCCAAGCCGTCTTTGAAGTCGGGGTCGTTGGGGATGTGGATCCGTGCCTCGCGGGCGAAGGGGGTTGGGGCCGTGCGGTCGACGCTGGTGTTGTAGGCCAGCTCCCCAATCTCCCGGGCCAGCTTGGCCGCCGTCATGCACCACATCTCGTCCGCCCGCGCAACGACAGCCTCGATGAGGATGTTGTCGAAGACACCGTCGGAGGCCGCGGCGATGATGACGTCGTCCTCCTCGACAGGCACCCTCAGGCTCTGGATGCCGGCACTCCAGAAGCCCCTGCCGAGTCGGGTGGGAGTCCAGAAGGGGGGCTTGTTGGCGGGGAGCGACCTCAGTCTGCTTGGCAGCGGATCCACCTTGTACTGGCGCCCGTCGCTGGTCCTGGCCCACCATCCTGCCGCTTTTCGGCACAGCTTGCTCAGCTGGAAGGGGCAGTTCCAGTGGCCGGGCAGCTGCATGGGGTGGAGCTGGCGCTCGATGGTCCCCTCGTCGAGGCCGTCTTCAGGGCGGGTCAGCACAGCCACCGAGTCGCCAAAGGTGGCCAGGTCGGCGAAGACCTCGCCGTACAAAGGCGACGGTAGTTGCCGTTGTGGAGCCAGCATCACCGCCCTCGCTTTGTTGTGGCGGCCGTTGCTCTCGTCCGCAGATCGGTCCTCGCACCGGGACATCGGATAGCGGGCAAGTCCTCCTTGATGTGACGACGTTCATGAAGAACGCTTGATGTCTGTTCTTGGGGAGCACCCTCTTGGTTTGACGAAGCGATTTCGTCATTTGGAGCTTGAAAAAACAAAGAAATCCGTCTCATGCGTCTCCAGCTCGCGTCGAGACTTCTCGACTCGACCAAACGGCAAAACCCGCGCACAGCGTACAGGTCAGGCACCGTGATCTCCGCAGCCTCTTTCACAAACAAATCCTGACGTCTGAATCATGAAGCTTACGAGCGCCCACCTGTCGATTGCCTCCCTCCTGCTGCTGTTGGCCTGCCCCACACACACGGCTGCTGCTGCGGCACCTGCAGTCGATGAGCGTCGGACAGCAGATGATGGTGGCGGCCCTATCGATGCCCTCAAGCAGCAGGTGGGACAGACACGCAGACGGACGGACGGACGGACGGACAGACGGACATGCATGGAGTGCGCATGTGTGTGGCGCCTTATTTGGCAGTTTGAGGAGTTCTTGGCGGCTCTGGAGGTGCCACAGCAAGACAACCAGCCCCAGGAGCAGGCCCATGACACCGCTGCTGCTGGTACGCAATGGTGCCCCCTATCTGTATCTCTACCGCGTTATCGGCCGATGTGTGTATGTGTGTGTGCAGGCGAGGACAGTGAGCAAGACGAGAGGAAGAGGGCCGCCAGGCTGACCGTTGACAAGGTGCGCAAGGCGGTCAGCAAACTTAAGAAGGGCCGCCTCGCCAAGACCACCAGAGAGCAGAGCCCGTACAGCCCCGAATTCATCGCCGGTGCCGACGCGTTTGTGGCCGAAGTCAACGCCAGCATCGCCGCATTTCAGGCGGCCTTCGGTGCTGAGATCGGCGACGAGATATCTGTGCTGTTGGTGAGCATTGAGGAGGACTTGGAGGCCATCGAGGTGCTGGCTGCGACAGGCGGCGTTGACGTCGTCGTGAGGGGCATTGGCGACCTCGACGCCATCGACCTTGAGGCTCAGGCTGACCTTGAGGCTCAGACTGACCGACCTGACGCCATTTCAGCCGCGGCTGCCGCGACGGGGCCTCGACGGGAACTCCTTGGCGGGTACGAATCCCATGGCGGTGGGACATTGAGCGCGAGCATGGCCGCACCGAGCAGCCGTCGGGGGAACTTGGGAGGGTGTGGAGGTGGCGAAGGAGGTAGCGGGGGAGCTGGAGGGGGAGGGGGCGGCGGAGGTGGCGGGGCGCCC